TATAAGGAGCCCTTCTCTCCACCACTTCCCAAACAAAACCCTGACACATCTTTCTGGTACTTCTGGACGAATTCTTGAGAGTAGTTTTATTTGTGCATAACTTCAGTAAACAAGCTGTTTTTTCAAGTTCCGAAATTGAATTAAAAGCGATTCGAAGGACTTGAACTGTCTCATATCCCTCCTCCATTCAGAGTCGAAGATAAGCCAAAAAAAACATTCTATACATGGCTCACTTTCAGAAGCTCTTCCCATGTACTTACTAGTTGTAGTTCATAAAGCAAATTCTCCTTGCCTTTGGTCTGTGTATCCTCCGGATCCGCAGATGGGATAGGCCGCCTTGATCGGGCAGCACCGATGGATAAGAAAATCGATTGGTTCCTTGAGACTGAGAAATCAGCAACAATATCGAAAAAATGTTCAAGACTTTTCATACGGTTGCTATAGGCTTCTATAGAGCATCCTATGGAGGTTTCATGTACGAGTCCCTCTTCAGTTTCATTCTGTTTGGACGGAGTTATTTCTGAACAACCTTTCCCCTTAAACCTAACGATCGGCTATGAAATCCATATATTTGAAATCAGTGTTGAGAGCTCTTCAAGGGCATGCACTATGTTTATGAAATTCTCAATACTAATTTTGACTTGATCTTCACTTTTCTCTCCAAATATGTATAAGGCACGTTGATCTACCCCTGTCGATCCGTCCGATCCCTCTTTCTGCCGGCGCTCTTTCCCCCGTCGTCTGTGCCCTCCGCTTTTCCCATAGTGCCTGATTTTTTTCTGTAGGTCCCTCGATTTCGAAGATGCGCTCGTTTTTTTATCCATCGATGCCCAGGGATAAAGGCAATACGCCATGCACGCAGATTTGCATGATTAAATATCAAGAGAAGATTGGTTTTGGTGTTTCAGGTGTAACTTGTAGGTACGTAAGTAGAGCTCGTGGTACTGATTTCAACAGCGGGATTAAAAGGCTAAACTGTCATTGTTTAAGGAAATATTCCAAAGGAGCTAGACTTAGGCTCTAAACTAGGTAATGGCCAGGAAATATAGTAATGGCTTTTATCTTTGGCATTTCCATCCCAAGATGCGCCATGCTTCCCTACGAACCAAGTTCAAGAGTCGTGTTGGATGTGGATGAGCATTTGGATTAAGTAGGCGATCCAACCAATCGTTTTGCTCCTACTTGTACCAGCACGAAGTAGTAGCTTCTAATTACATTCATACTCATTACCCTCACATATTTATCTTTTTCCTTGTCAATTAAGTCTACCTTCAAGTTCATCCCCCTTTGGAAGGAACGACAGCAGCCCCTTCGTCTTCGCTTTTGCGTAGAGTGCCATTCACACCCCTTCACAACTGTAAAAACGGAAGTACGAAGAAACGTTGAACAAGAGGAAATGGACTGTCTTTATTGTGTTCAAGTGAAGTAATCAATACCAGTAGGCGAGGAAGTACACGGAAATCTCTATTAGAATAATTGCAATTATGCACATTATGTATGAATCTTCAGCCAGTCGTACACCTGTTCGTAGACGATTAACATAATGGCACCACCTGAATAAAGAAGCGATTTGCTCGATGAGAATTATTTGTTTTTTGGCATTATTTGAGTAGGAACACGAATTGGTGGGAAGCTGCTTACACTCGTTTTCATTTCTTGAAATTGTAAGAGGTAAGGTTAAGTAAAGTAAGGCATTTGAAAAAAAACATTCCTAATAGGGACCTTCCAGAAAGTAAATGATTAGTAAAAGACTATACCTGGTCCGAGACGCATCACCTTCGGCAGGAGACCCTTGTAAAGTGCTCCGAGGCTGAAATAAGGAGAAATGAAGCATTCGACGACTTCGTTGGATTCGCAGGAATGCTTCGAAGTAACATTTCTTACCCTTCTTCTTTATAGACTAATTCAAATGTTTGTATGGTTCCTTTATATTTCCTCACAGCTGGATCAGGTTGAGGACCTGAAAACTTATAGCTGTTTAACTACTACTTACTCTATAAAGGCGAGCCAGGACAGTCGCCCTCCATGAGTGCCTTACCTTGGATACGGGACTTTGCCACGTCGAAGGGGATGTTCACTATGGACGCTATTGAACCTGCTGCGAAACCTAATACAATGCGACCTGCCAAGTTTTTAGAAGGTGATTTCTGAAAAAGGTCATATTAGCGAGATTCGGACATCTGGGCATCGCCACTTGGATAGCCAGTGACAAGTGAGAAGGTTCAACCCCATTGCAAGCATGAATGAATGTACCGAGAAATTTCGAGTTTCTCCAGCAAATCTTCCAGTTACTTTGTAAAGAGTATAAAAGCAACTTTTTTCAACCACATTTGTTATAAAAAACACTTACGCTAATACATACCTTTGAGTCTGGAATGAACGTTTTCAGATTGTGATAGAGACCAAAGTAGAACATATTCCACACTCCATGACGGCCTAGTGTTGCACTTAATCCTAAAGGCATTATCGGCATTAACTATTTGAAAGTAGTCTCCACGTACGGGGTTCAATGAACATCGGCATGATTTATTATAGCTTGATATGATTTTGTGTTCAACCTCACGAGGTTGTTATAAAACCGCAAAAGTTTAAAAGTAGTGCTACCATAGGCAGATATAGGGTAGTCAAGCTCAGAAAGGTGTCGCAAGGGCAATGGGGCCGAACGCGCGCTGTGCAGCCGAAATGCCGCATGCCGAAACACTTGTGAAGGCGGGGCTGTCGACTGAGGCGTTCTTACCGCATTTTAGGCACCCGTTAGACCGCTTCTGGCCCTCTATCAGTGTGGCTGACCTGAGTGGATGACACTGAACTGACCGACTGGTCATGGGTCACAAACTCATGGGAAATAAACTTTGTTTGACAAGAATAGAAGACCAACACTTTAAAGAAAAATTTGATGCGAATTGAAAGTACCTCTGTAGAGTCCATTCAATCCCAGGCCGTCTGTTTTTATAATCTCTCTAGCCACTGCTGCAGTAGACTTTTGCTAGAAAAGCAGAACTTTTTCGTAATAGTGAAAGAACTATGGAATATGGGCGGCACCTGCATCAACGATACTCCTCGCTCGGACTGGAGCCTTACTTTGACAACTTCAAACGGACAGATGACAATCGCCTCTGTAAAACCACAGAACAATCCCGCCATTGACAATGACTGAAAGCGAGCATATGCATATCTAAGCAGGCATTAACTTGTGAAATAGTAATTTGAAATTAACGTGTGCTTCAATCAGAAAATACCAGGATGACTGACTACAGATATCGCAAAGCCTCCCCGTTTTTAAAAGCGAGCGTATACAAACTGCACTTCTAAACGGCGCTGTTTCCGCTGATTGGGCAGTCCACGTGCAGCTCGATAATCAGCCAATCAGAAGTGCGCTAAGACTCACCTACTTGACCATCACCTTTTCAATGTGCTCAGCTGAGCCACGTAGCTATAATACATATCAGAGAAGGAAACTCGATATCCAACCCCTGTCCCGTAAAAAAAAAACAGTGCAATTCACTAACGCAATATTTCACTTCCACAAACAATTCTACATGACTTAAAACTTATTATGGACCCAGAAAAAGATTAAAACCAAAAAAAAACAATTACGATTGCCGGAGAAACACTTGGATGGCTGAATATCTTCTTGTACTGCTCAAAGGTGAAAAATTTCGTAGCACGTTTTGGTGTCTCAGCAAGAATCGGCGGTAAAATTCCCTGAAAAATCCCTACTTACAAAGTGATAATTAAAGTAACAATTTCTATTTTCAATCGTCACTTATTTACCTCCCGCATCGAAATACGGCTACATAATTCTCACTTTACCTTATAAAATCCTAGAAAGCCCTCGTTTCTGAAGGTTTTTAGCACACAATCCATCATTCCTCTGTCATGTTGAGCAACTTGCAGACGTGTCTTGATTAAATCCAATGGATGCATTAGACATACCTCGACCAAGCCTTAAAAGCCTACACATCAATTACTTACAAGTTATCGACTGCCAACTATAGGAAGGGTGCTAGGCATAGATTGGAGTCCATCTTGTGGTAAACAATCGCATGAGAGAGGAACATATTACTTTGAAGATTCGAGTACCTGCTGAACCTCCAGCGGTAAACTGTCGTACTCCGTCTTTGACCGCTTCTGCTGCCATAATCCTACAAAAGGACACTATTTAATTTAAAAACATGCAAAAACATTACCTATTCATAGCCCAGATTGTGTTTGACAAAGAACAGAGTTTAACATTGGAAATTGGATATTTTGTAATAATTCTATGGATCACGTGATGATAGCTCTATAAGATGCATGAAGAACACCGAAGGGCCATGAGTAGAGGAACTGAACAAGAGTAAGCATTCAATTCAAAGGGCTAGCGACCGTAAGCAGAATAGTTTTCTGGTATAAATCTATAGGACTCCATCAGCCTAGGAATCTTGAGCGCCAGTTACGGTATAAATTTGACGCTCTCCCTCGTGAGAGCTGGATGAGACCAAATTTTTTAGCGGCATGGCTCGCATATACGGTAGAATAGACAAACACTACATAAGCAATCAACAACACTAGCATTCAAACATGGAGAAGCCATCACAAGAAGCCGGCTTAGCTTCGATACGGAATCAATCAATAAAAGTGATTAGAAAAGGGACAATCACTATGTCCTTGGACGATAAGCAAACGCAAGGCTGCCGTTATCAAAATCGTAATGTCTACGATTTCTAATTCGACATATAAACGACGAACTGATATGCGAATAGAGTTATTAAAGTAGGGAAAAAGTTTTCACTGAAACTCCATCAGAAGATCAAGTCAAAACACCGTCTCCTAGAGAGGCAGCCCTACAAACAGGTATTCATCCCCATTTATGGGATTGGATCTGAAACAAGACCAGTCTGTAAATTGTACAGATACTCACTAAAGTAAGGATAAAGTCTTAGGGCGTTAAACAATCCTGTCTGAAGGATGCGCCCCCGCTTTCGAATTCCATTCAGAATCGTAGTGGCGTATTGAACGAGTATGTGGCCTATACATGACATGCGATGGCCAGCAGATGTACAAGTCGGTGCTTTTATCCTCCCACACGAGTCTGGTACCAATTAACCGACCCCGTAGGGATGAAAGGCTTGGTTGGCCTAGGCGAACATCGATCCGGGATTCGAACTCGTGCCCATGCGCTTGCCACTGCACCATCACCGCCCTACAAATACTCGTCATTTTTAAAGAATTTTTGGTCCTTAATAATATACTACATGCCCTTACAAGGGTCTTTCTTTGCCTTTTGTGCCTAAGAGTGCACACTTTCTCCTTGAAGACATATGGGGCAGAATGCTGTGAGCATCAATCGATAAACGTGCACATGCGCCGTTTGTCAGTCGCGCTCACGAGCTTTTTTAGATACCATGGAAAGAAGGACAGAGGGCAGGGATTGATTGACCATTTTACAATTAACCTTTTAACTTGCTATGCAGTATTGATTCTTAAGCGCCGACGTCTGCTGTCCGGCTAGACTTCACTACTGAGTCCCTCCAGGCGAAGGGTGACACCTCCATCCTCCCATGCTAACGCGTATTATTTATTATTATCACTCCGGAGAAAAGCGATGAAGTGAAGCTCTCAAGATGTGAAGCTCCTTTCCTCTCCTTCCATGTCGTAATGGATGATCCCAGAGGTAAGATGGCTTACACGGTTTGGGTTCTAAGCTGAGCAGGCTGCCTTATGCCTCTGATTTGTGAAGAACCGGTGAAAGGGGTTCGATGCATGGCGATCCATACGACGCTGCCCTATCAATGTTTTCAAAGAAACGCGGATCCTTTCAATAATAGAGCACAAAAGAAGTGCGAGTGAATGAATCAATCCTTGCACACTCTCTTCCAAGACAATCAGTATCGACGTGTTGCTAACAGCTTTGTCCGCTCTTCCGATTCTCGACGTCTTCGGAAATGCAGTCTTTGTAGGGTATGTGGACTTACGCACGTCCGAGGAGACGCGCGGCAGACTGTGCGGCAAAGTTTGTAACGATTTGAACGACTTTAGCGCCTATCAATGGGACCCAAAAGCAAATTGAAGTAGAGCAGATTAGAGGGACAGTTTTGAGTCGCCGCGCAAGTTGCCGCGCGCGTCCTCGGACGCACGTAATGCACGTCTCCCGGCTATGTAGCTACAAAATGATGCGCGAACGCGATGTCACACGTATAGCATATCAAAAGGTCTTCCACTGTATCGGTTCTTATCGTTAGCTAGTTGTCTCGAATCCAGTTCGCTGTGACTCTTCTCCGCCTCTTCACGAAACCACTTGTAACGCGCATGGTTGTAACAAACAGTTGGCGTTGACAGGACTACGGCCTTATGTAGAGCGCCCAGGAAAGGGGCGCTCTACATAAGGCCTTGGGTCTCAGGATTTAGCTGGTGTGTATATCCTCACCAACCTTTTTTCCGTTGCCGTGTATCAGAAAATGACAGTGGAGCAAAAATTTTACAGCCTATTCGTACAGTCAAGTGACAAGTCAACAGCCTTCGATGCTCTCGAGAAGCCCGGGGGCAACCGCGCCTTGACGTTGGCCGCTGAGACCATGTCTAACCGAGGTTTGAAAAAAAGGAGTCATTTAGGAAATTCTTGCCTCAGGGAGAATAGTACGCTCCATATCAAGAGTCCTACTGTGTGCCGCGGTCCTTAAAGGGGATCCGCGCGCTATTTTCAAAAAGCCGCAGGTTGCCCCCGAGCTCTGCGCAAAGTTTCTGCCGTGCAGTGTTTTTCTTCCCTACTTCTCTGCTTTATTTTGAGTAATGGCTTCCGATAACACATGCCGCCTCCCCACGCCTCATTTTTTCTGAGCGAAGTCTTGAAGTTCGTACTACAAGCGAAAATTGGTCCCCATCACATCTCTTCGAACGGTTGCCAGATTCGAAAAAGGGTTTAGATGTTGGTGATCTAACCTTGAAGCTCCGAAGTGCCTTGATGACTTGCTCCTTTGATACAGGCTCACAAGTGTCTCGGAGCTCTCCTTTTGGTTCAGGCTGGAAGTCAAACTGCGCCAGCAAGGGTATGGGTACATTCACCCAGAACTGGATGGACGCGGCAAATCGCGCGGCGAAATTCGTGGCGATTCAAACGGTTTAACGCCTATTATTGGGGTCCAAATTTGAAGTAGAGCCAATTAGTACGATTATCTGACCATACTAATGTACTCTACTTCACGTTTAAGCCCTATTGATAGGTGCCGAAGTCGTCCCGAACGCCACGAACCTCGCCGCGCCATTTGCCGCGTCCATCGTGTTTTGGGTGAATGTTCCGTCCCACCGCCAGCAAACGCATCACTCAGCCAACCCGATGGAGAACTTGCGGATGAAGTCAGACTTCATTGAAAGAGCGAACTCTTGTGAGCAGCATCCTCTCGACATGAAGCCATGCCCAGGATTCAAAGGCGAAGGGTCTTGAAGCGATTCCCGGCAGCGGGCCGCTACAAAGGAGCGGCCCAATCGGGCAGTATGGCAAGTACCAAGCATCCTTGGTACAACTACTACTCATTGAAGCGTAAATCTATATATTCCCGACGTTCACCTCTCAATCTGAGAATGTTGCGTTCTATCTGTGAATAGTGTTTTCTATTTCTCAGCGTGCTCGAGTAATTCTCGCATAATTGTAGCGTCTGTTTCGTGAATAGATTTTCCAAAAGTAGCAGGCTGCTTCTAAACGCGATTGGTTATTGGCTTCACTACTTTTCCTAACTGTTCTGCTAACTTTCCTTGATTTCGGAATGCTTTTGCACAACAAATCTGCTTTACCCGCATTCTGTGTGGGTGCGATTATCGATTACTCCGCGCGGCCATACCTAAATCCTGGTTTGAATGTGACGCCCAACCCAAGTAGACGCATCTCAACAATTGGCAGTCAACGGCATGCAATTAAAATTACATCTTTTGATCTAGAATTTTTAAAATACTTCTTCTAAAGCGTAATGTTCTCGTGAGTCAATCGTTTCTATTTCAAATTCTTCTCATTCTCACTGCTCCGATATCAATTTTCTTTCTATTTCAGCCATTCGGTGATCATCAGAGTGAGAATGTAGTTGCTGGGAAGGGAGGGAGGGATGGCGCAGAAGGGGGAGTGTGGTGGCTAGCATATCCAAAGCCATGGGCCTGAGCGCCGGAGAAGGAGAGGTGAGGCGCCGGCTTTGCTATCCTGTAGTGGTGCTGAGAAACAATTATGAGCGAGGACGGTGAGGTTCATGGCTAATTCTAGAGAAGGAAGGAGAAATTTCGGGGGGTTGACATGCTAATTTCATGCAAAAAGTTGTAATAAGGAAGTATTGATCGATTCCTGGGACACTATCTTGCTAGTAGAGCGCAGACATAGGCACGAAAGCGCGGCGTACTTCCCGCCACCCACCTTCCCTTCCCCCGGCTACATTTTCACAAATTATCGACGCATCCATCAATGGCCTCAACCTATTGGCTCAACAACAAGAATCAGGCGATCAACGGCACTCAAGTTTAAGGTAGGTGAACTACTTGTTATCTACTATTGTTACCATTGTCATTTGACTAACCTTTCCACGCAATTTGACTAGGCGTAGCCTAAATTTCTTGCAGGGGGAGAAGTCGAAGCCCCACTTTTTAGTTAAGAAAGCATACGCATTAGAATTATCAACCTATTCCGCTTTGTGCCTTCTAGTAATCATGTTATACTGGAAAAGAGAGGTAATGTAGTCCCCAGAGGTCCATCACAGCCCTCGAACCATTCTTGGAATCCATTTCCTTGTTAATTCAGTCATGTTAGTGGGCTACCTCGAAGCAAAACCCTTTTATACAACATGAGACCTATCTGACTGCGAAACGAAACAATTTTTGCACTTACATGCAACTCCTGTTTACAAATGTAAATAGGCGTTGAGGTACTCATGAATCTAAAGGCAAATCGAGGCAGTCATAACTACTAAGCAATAAAAAACCATTTTGTACAATTACACATAGATGAAATTAGATGGGCATTGTTAGAAGGTTTGCTCAAAAGTAGAATAAATAGATATTCAAGAAATATTACGTTGGCAGCTATGTAACTGCGAATTTTTCGAATACTTCGAACGTTAATATCACAAGATAAATCTGTTTTTCAAGTAATCTTTGTTCGTAAGCCAGTTACCTGATAGTTATGGT